ACTTGGATCCGCCTCCCTGCCATCAATCAAACGTTGAATCTGAGACATTTTATTGTTTTTTGAAAAATGTCCGTTTTGAATTTGATGCCAACAACACGTTCCAGAAAAGTTGGGACGGGGGCGACAAAAAGGCTGGTAAAGTTGTGTACTGCTAACAAAAACACCTGGTGGTTAATTGGCAACAGGTCAGTAACATGATTGGGTATAAAAGAGCATCTCTGAGAGTCTTTTCAGATGTAAAGATGAGGAGTGGTTCACTGCTCTGTGAAAGACTGCACGATCAAAGTGCAACAATTCAAGAATAACGTTTCTCAACATAAAATAGCAAAGAACTTTTGCTTTTCATCACCTACAGTACATAATATGAAAAGATTCAGAGAATCTGGGGAAATCTCTGTATGCAAGGGACAAGGCCAAAAAACAGTATTTGCTGGCCGTGATCTTTGGGCCCTCAGGCCGCACAGCATTAAACAGACATGATTCTGTAGAGGAAAACACTGAATGGGCTCAGGAACACTTCTGAAAACACTGTCTGTAAAAACAGTTTGTCACTGCAACTACAAATGCAAGTTAAAACTCTAAAATGCAAAGAAGAAATCATATATAAACAGGATCCAGAAATGCTGCCACCTTCTCTGGGCCTGAGCTCATTTAAAATGGACTGAGGTGAAGTGGAAAAGTGTCCTGTGGTCTGCCAAATCAAAATTTGAAATTCTTTTTGGAAATCATGGACGCTGTGTCCTCCGGGCTAAAGACCACTTGGCTTGTTATCATTGCACAGTTCAAAAGCCAGTATTCATGATGGTATAGGGGTGCATTAATGCACATGCCATGGGTGACCTGCACATCTGTGAAGGCACCATTAATGTTGAATGATATATACATGTTTTGGCAACGTATGCTGCCATCCAGATGACATTTTTTTTCAGTGAAGACCTTGATTATTTGAGCAAGACAATGTCAAACCACATTCTGCACGTATTACAGTAGCATTGCTCTATATTAAGAGTCTGGGTGCTAAACTGGCCTGCCTGCAGTCCAGACCGGTCACCCACTGAAGCATTTGGTGCATTATGAAATGGAAAAATACGACACAGGAGACCCTGAACTGATGAGCAGCTGAAATCCTATATCAAACAAGAACAGGAAAACATTTCACTTTCAAAAGGGGTGAAGGGGTGATGAAACACAGTGGTAAAAATGCCCCCATCCCAACTTTTTTAGAATGTGTTGTCATTTCTCAGTTTCAACATTTATGTTGTCTTTGTAGCATTTTCCTTTAAAAATATGGTTTACATGATTTTCATATCATTGCATTTTATTTTTATTTACATTCTGCACAGCATCCCAACTTTTTTGGAAATGAGGTTCAAAGACAACATATCAGATGTTGAAACTGAGAAATTTGAAACAGCCTGGTTGGTACAGACTGGCAAAGTTATGCAATGCTAAAAAGCATCTTGTGGAACATCTCACAACTGATTAGGTTAATTGGCAACAGGTCAGTAACATGACTGGGTATAAAAAGAGCATCGCAGAAAGGCTGACTCTTTCAGAAGTAAAGATGGGGAGGGGTTGACCCATCTGTAACTGCGCAGGCAAATAGTGCAACAATTCAACATAAAATAGCAAATAACTCATCTACAGTACACGATATTATTTTGTATGGAAGGGGCCAAAAAACAATACTTGGCTGGCTGTGATCTTCAGGCCCTCAGGCAGCACTGCAGTAAAAACAGATATAATTCTCTAGTGGAAATCACTGCATGGATTCAAAAACACTTCTGAAAACAATTGTATATGAACACTTCATCACTGCATCCACAAATGCAAGTTAAAACTTTACCATGCAAAGAAGAAACCATATATAAACGGAATTCAGAAACGCCGCCACCTTCTCTCGAGCCCATTTTAGATGGACTGAGGTGAAGTGGAAAAGTGTCCTGTGGTCCGACGAATCAAAATTTGAAATTCTTTTTGGAAATCATGAATGCTGTGTCTTCTGGGCTAAAGCTGAGAGGGACCATCCAGCTTGTCATCCGCACACAGTTCAAAAGCCAGCATTCATGATGGTATGGAGCTGAATAAGTGCACATGGCATGGGTGACTTGCACATCTGTGAAGGCACCATTTAATGCTGGATGATATATACAGGTTTTAGAGCAACATATGCTGCCATCCAGGTGACGTGTTTTCAGGAAAGGCCTTACTTAGTTCAGAAGACAATGCTAAACCACAATCTCCATTTTTACAACAGCATGGCTCTGTAGTAAGAGTCCAGGTGCTAAACTGGCCTGTCTGGAGTCCAGACCTGTCACCCGTTGAAAACATTTGGCGCATTATGAAGTGAAAAATGCAATGAACTGTTGAGCAGCTGAAATCCTATATCAAGCATAAATGGGAAAATATTTCACTTTCAGAACTACAGCAGTTGGCCTGCTCAGTTCTCAAATGCTTACAGAGTGTTGTTAAAAGAAGAGGTGATGCAAAAGCCCCTGTCCTAACTTTTTTTTGAAATGCGTTGCTGGCGTTAAATTAAAAATGAGCTTGTTTTTCAAAAAACAAAATTTCTCAGGTTTAATATTTGGTATGTTGTCTTTGTACGATTTTAAATATAGTGTTTATAATGATTTGCAGATAATTGCAATCTGTTTCTATTTTTTACATTTTTGTGTAAATCTGTGATCCAGCATGGTGAATGCAATGCTTTTCATTAATACAGAGCAGGACGCAGTGTCTGCAATCAACGCTGCCATTCGTCGTGGTGTTCCTGAAGAGACGGTAGATGAGCTCCGGAACCCAGAAGCCCAGCTGCCCATAATCTACCCCTCTGCTGCCAACCTGTACCAGTCTGAACTCTTCAGCCTGCAGAATGGCTCACAGGTCAGTTCTAGAGCCCCACAGTTTGGCCAGTGCAATCAGTATTTTAACAACCAGCATGGTTACAATAACAAAACAAAACCCAAACCTAACCTTTAGAAAGAGGACAAAATATTACACCATGTTGCAGCATGTTACACTATAAAAACATATGAAGACAACAGTTCAAATAACAATAATAAGAGCTATTAAACAGAAACCAACAAAGCTAAATTTTGGGAAACTCTGCCCCTTGCATATGGTATTTATACAAAATATCACTAAGTTTCTGTTCTTTATTTGATTTTAAGAAATTTGCTAACTGACAGTTCACAGCCAACAACTGGTAATTTGTCTTGTGTATCTTAAACTGTGGAAACTGTAATTTTTGACAATCGAAAATTATGTCTGTTTTCAGTTTGTAGTCCCTTAATCAGTATCTGTATCAGTGACAGAATTTTTATCAGTTTCATACTCTAATTTCTAAGATTTATTTGATTTTTTTTTTTTGACTGCTATCTTTGCAATGTTTTTATCTTAGAAAAAAACTGGTCTGAGCCATGAGGAGCTCTGTGTTGCTGTTGAGATGCTGTCAGCAGTAGCCATCTTAAACGAGGTGCTGGACACTAAGGACTCTGTGGCGGTCACAGAGCAGCTTTCTGACTCTCCGCTAGGATTCGGTAACATGGACCATGACAACATGCAGAGGTAATACTGAAAGTGGAGCATCGTAGACACATCTAGCTTAAGTCACTGGAGATGAGTAGAACCTGGGCCAGTGTTTATCAGGACCAAATCCTGACACTTTGATTTTATAAATAATGAATATGTAAGTGTTGACTATTCAGCTCCTTTTGATTTAATACTTATACAGTACTGTGCAAAAGTCATGGACCATTTAATTTCCAGCCAAAACAGCCATAAAGTACAGTTTTCTGTGTCACAAAATAGGGAAGGAAACATACTTTAACAGAATTACACCAAGTGTAATATTATATACTGATAGATAAGTTGTTCACCCTTTTGTGCACCTTACTGCCAGTTTAACTCTAATGAATAATTTGGTTTTAATGGCCATTTTGACAGGAAATAAAATACATATGTTGTGATATTTATAGATTAGTAATGAATGAGGCCATTGTTCATAAAAAAAGCAAAACATAAGCCGTTTATAAATATTACTTTTTTGATATGTTATTCAAGGCTTATTCCTGTGTTATGAAGTCTCTATGTAGGTACTTCTCAGATAAAGTATTACCTCAGACCATGATCATCATGTAAAGGAATACTAAAACTGTTCCATGGTGCATACTCCCACAGATACGCTGATACACTCATAAGCCTTAGAGCAGAATCTCTTGCTCAGGGGCAGGAATTCCTCACCTGGAACGATGTTCAGAAGTGCATCGACTCGGTCAACTTCCAGGTTCACGAGGAGCATGAACGTAAGGGTTTACTGCAGACATATGTATTACATTTAAATTTTTTATACTTGAATAAGACACTGGATACTCAATATTCTCATTGTTTAATGATAACTTGCATGTTATTGAACAACTGACACACAGTATATTTAACAAAAAACATTTTCCTCACTCTGTTTGCTCAGTCCATTTTGAGAGTGTACACTGTCATTGTGCATATAGGCCCACCTTATTGGCTGATTTTTATACAGTACTTTTATCCATTTTTACATCCACAAATGTATTTGTGGTCCAATTTTTACCTAGTTCTTTGCTACAGTTGTGTAAAGTCACTTACATTTGTGATGCATGTGTCTGCAGGAGTGATTGCCATTGCTGAGATCAATGAGGCCCTGAACTCTGGAGATCCAGAGAAAACCCTTGCTGCCCTGCTCCTCCCCACAGCCAAAATACAGGGAGTTAACCCAGAAACAGCCAAACACTACCATGATTTGCTGCTGCACACCAAAGATCTTATCTGCAAGGTACTGGCATATTCACATCTAAATTGTCCAACTAATTGTTATTTCTGCTGTTGGTTTAACCTGCTGGTTTGGTGCTGCTTGATAAATATTTTATAACTTAGTAACCTCATTTCAACCCTTAAACAAAAAGCAAATGCATTTTACAGTCTAATGACACTAGACAGAGGCATTCATATTGGAAGAGAATGCTCCTATTTCTTGTCTATTCATGTCTCAGCATGATTTCAGTGTATAGTTAATTGAGTGAAAATCTGTCTGGAAGGTTCTTAAGAAGCCAAAGAACTTGTTTGTTCCAACATGTTTCACATCTGTAAGCAATGGCAATGGCAGTAATTACTTTAACAGTTTTATTTACAAAAAAGCAAAGTAGCATTTAAATGTGAATTCCATAGATGGATAGTTTGATGTGAAATGGTCCATTATAGAGAAACTTAATTACTCAGATTTTGTTTACAATGGCAGTATAAACTAGGGGTCACAGTGCATTGCCAAAAATGCTGTCTTGGTAGGAAAAATCATCTATTTATTGTACTAATCTATTTTATTAAGTAATCTAGTTTTTCTCATTTTGGGATTATAAGAATATCATAAGATTATTTAACTCATTTGTAGATGTTTTGCTTGTTTCAAGTAATTTTATCTCTACAAATTGTCTTATTCTATTGGCAGATACTTTTGCTTATGTTGAAGCATTATTTGTTGAAATAAGCAAAATTATCTGCCAGTGGAATAGGACAATTTCTTGAAATTACCCAAAGCAAGTACAATACATGCAAAAACAAGTGGAATCATTTTATAATATTCTTACAAAGATCTGTGTATTTTCTAGAAGTTTTTCCACTTGCAGAGATACAAGTTTGTGCAATGTGTCTACAATGCAAACAGAGCCATTTAATTTAGTGTCCAAAACAACTAGTAAACCTACAAGTGTGAGTTTTTAAATACAATGCTGATCAGATAAAATATTGGTAGAAAATAGTAGGTAGAGTTTCTCTATTTTCCCTTGCTATGCTCTGCATGTATGTATGTATGTATGTATGTATGTATGTATGTATGTATGAAAATATGTTCTAGTCTAAAAGTGTATAGCAAAAATATTGTAAAACAATGTCTCAGGCAACATGTTTAATACCATTTCATGTAATAACTTTTTTGTGAGAACTTTCAGAAGCTTTATGCTGACTTCTAGTTCCCCTTAAACCAATGAGAATAATTCTAATTTGGTAAGTTTCTCTAGAATGGCACATTTCACATCAGACTACTCCGAATGACCATTTACATCTTAACGATTTATGTATTCAGTATTATTTTTGGAAGATCAGTTCAATTCATCTTTAAAGTTCTAATCATCACTGCATAAACATTGCTGTAATACCCCCTATTAATTTCAAGTATTTCCAGAAAGTATGGGCACATTTTACTGGGTGTGATCTTGTAGCGTAACTGTTCAGATATCTCTAACAAACCAGCTGCATCAGTGTATTAATAGGGTTTTAAACAAGTCTAGTAGGCAGGATAAACAAGACCAACAAGTTGGTCTGTTTAAGTATCAGTTTTTTCCAAATGACATACTGCCTTGTAGCAATAACATCCGCTTGCCATTGTTCTGTTCTTTTTAGATCAGGGAGCACCCCCACTGCTTCTAGATGGTACAAAAACACTCCACTTCCCAGGCCTCCTTTGGTTTAGGCAGTAGTTTACGTTATTGGAGAAAAACTGCTGAGGGAGATAAATTCCACTTGGGAATTTGTAGTCTTTGTTATGAAGTATGAGAGGAAGGGGTCTAGACAGCTGTGAAAGCAGCAGAGACATACAGCCACGCTGAAGTAAATGTAGAAGTCGTCCTGCTGGCTAGTGTAGAGTCTTACGTAGTGAATCAAGTGAATTGCATTACTTGGAGTAAAACACAGAAAGAAGATCACAAAAACCAGTGTGCTTGCCTTGATATAGTGTGTCCAGTCACAGCAAGACCTGTTCAACTGGTACACAATGGATCCATAGGCGAATGCGATGACCACAAAAGGAAACATGAAACCTAAACAAATGAGACATAGTCTATATGGAATTAAGAAGTTGTATTGTTCCTCATCATAAGGCAGAACATCATGGCATGTGGTGATGCCCACATCGGCGAGGTAGTAGCTTTGATGAACGAGTAACTCTGGAGCCATGGCGGCAGCGAAAAACACCCACATAGTCAAGCTAGCCCAAGTAGTGCAAGATCTTTTGGAGAGTCCTCTGTAGAGGAACGGATGAACCACAGCCAAATAGCGCAGCACGCTAATACACATGTGGGCATGGATGGAACAGTAGATGTTACCATAAAAGCAGGCCGTAACCAGCTTGCAGGCAAGTTCTCCGAACATCCAGTTGTTTCCATTCAGATGGTAGTGGACTTTCAGTGTGAGGGACACCAACAGGAGAAGGTCTGAAACCGCAAGGCTCAAGTAGAGGATTGCGCTAGATAAGCTTCCTATCTTATTGATGAGACAAGCCAGTACTAGGCAGTTTGAAGGGATTCCTATCAAAATAGCAATCAAATAAGCTGCCGGAATGATCCTGGTGCTGAGGATCCCAGCTGTGTAGTTCCGCACATGACTGCTGGAGACATTAAGTTCAGGTAGAATAAGGTCATTTTCTGTTGTTGTGTTTCCTGCTCTTCTCGCATTAAATGTTTTTGGGTGCAAGATATTATTACCTGTTGAAATGGGGGGAAAAAATACAATGATCACTCAAGAAAACAGGAGCAGACATCTCACAAACAAAATATCATCTAGCATTTTCATTTCATGTCTTCCTTTTGAATATGTGGTAACACTTTACTGTAAGGCACCGTTTTTAAGGCTATACGACACCTACATCAGCTTGTCATGAGAACTGGCAAAAACCTACATAAACATTTATAAAGCCTTTCGGTAGGCAATGTCTGTCAAAAAGACTGCTTTTGTCAACTTTGAAGTCAAGTTAACATACCTATATCAAGCTGACTTTTTCTGACATTGGGCTGTTATGACATTTTTTCGGTACAAAGACAGCATGTTATAACGACTGACTTTGTAGCTTAGTGTATATCATAGTGACAATGCTTAATGGTAAAATGAAACTCACTTTACCAAAGAGCCACAGAAAATACTCACCTTTGTTCAACTAAGGTGTCATTTTATTAATATTATGTCACTGTGAAACTACACTGAGCTACAAAGTGTGTCATTTCACCCCAGAAAGTGTCATAACACTGAGACAGATGTTATGTCAAAATGACATTTAAAGTTGACAAAGCAGCCTTTATGCTAAACATTGGCAATTATTATTATTTTTTTTATTTGAATCAGCTACTAAATCGGTAGTTTACATTTTTAAACACTGTACTTCAAATATACTTTTATAATAGAAAAATATCTTTCATTTTTAGAAAGAAATGAATTTTTTTAAAAGCAAATTACTTACGTGCAGATTGAAGTGAGTCAGAGAGCATAAACACATACAAGAGTACCAGAAGTGGTCTATACATGTTTGTCTTCTCTTGAGTTCTTAGCACTGAGAATTTTCCATTTTCTTTTGAAATCAGTCTTGGTTAAGGAAATAAAGAAAAAGCAAAACGAAGGTCATCTGAAGAAGTGAAGTTCCAGTAATCCTCATGGTAATTCTGTCTCTGAGTGTGATGTTTCCTGTTGAGGCTTGTAGGACACTGGCTCTGAATTCCTTAGTTTCTGTGTTTAAACATGGCAGGAAATAATTTAGCACTGTGGGTGGAGATAACTGCTAACTGGCTTCTCTTACCTATTAAATGTTGTGTGGGGTGTGTGTCCCTTCATCTTATTTCTCTTCTTTTTCCGACAGTCATAAGACACTGCCCTCTATACTTTTATTTCATACTCTGATAAAGTAAATTTTTAACTTTTTTTTTTGGTTTTGCTTCTGTCCTGAGTCACGGCTCCTGTTAAGTCATGTGATTTAATCACGCAACTTTTCTGACGATATTGCATGACTAGGCATAGGTCTGTAGAAAACATTGTGGAAAACAATGGTGTTAACACTCACTAACACAGGACACATGAAGCACTTTTCACTTTTTTTTTTTTCTGAGATTATGACTTTATCACTTTATTTAAGGAACATTTAGGGGTTTGTTAAGGTCTTGTGCTGTGTAAACTCTAATAAAACACTGTTTTATGCACTATGCTTAAATAATGCTTGAATTAGTTTTATTCATTGTGACCTGCATTAGTATGTAATTTAAGGTCTGTAATAATGCACAATAAACACTTTGATATGCAAATTATTAAGCATAAATTATCAAAATTTACATATTGTTAGTTTATAATTGGCAGCATTTGATTCCTTTAGGTTCTAGATAGTACCAAGGGTTTTTTTTTTTGCAGTTTATTACTAACTAATAAGTAATTATATTACTAGCTTATTAAAGAGTTTAATAAGTCACCAATACTTGAATACTTTTTTTTTTATTTTTTTTTATTTAATATTCTATAGTGCAGTTTTAGTTATCATTAAGTGAACAGTATGGAACACATACTGACATCTTAGTGAAGTATTCGATCTTTCTGGCAACCAGACTACAATGAATAGGAACTGAGTTTGTGATGCAAACTGACTTATTGGAAGTTTGCCACAAATTAGTGATGACTAAAGCTGCCCTTTAAAGTATGGAACACATCTTGAAATATAAGTGACTTGTTAAACTCTTACAAGTTCTAACGCAGTGAATCCCACAAGTCACTTGACACTATCTAGAACCTATAGGAACTGATCACTTCTGCCAAATTTACATAAAATAAGGTATATTTAGATGATGTGTTCGTTCTAATTAATTTGCAATTTAAGACATTTAAACCACGTCATAAGGTAGTAATTGTACATTATTACAACTAATATTAAAGGGCCTCATTCATCAATATCCTTTTATTTTTTTTCCTAAATGTGTTCTTGAGAAAGTTCCTAAGACAAGGTCTATATCAGATTCATGAGGTGTTCTTAAACTGCAGATTTGTTCGCACCTTTGTGCTCTTGAGTGTGTGTAGATTTTGTTTTAAGAAAAAATCCCAAATAAGAAAATGTCAGTCTTCATGAAAACTGCCTCAGTGGGTTTTAACAAGAAATTTTGTCTTAATGTTTGAAAAGAGTCTCAAAGTTCTTATTGATTTTTACATTACAGACTTTTTTATTTACTATCCAAAACCACAAGTAAACCTACATACATCTTTTGAGTTGTGTATGTAATGTTGACAATGGTAGAATCGTAGTTAATTGGAGGGGACTTGGGGACTTACCTGCATGTACCTCTCTAAGCCTTGTGTGGTGTTCGGGTCTGTGGGACCCATTTTCAATGAAAAAGACTTTTGCAACGACTTCATACTGTAAACCCCCTACACATTTATATTACACATGGTGTTGGGTGAACCTGCGGGGAATGAAAGTGTGGAGGTGCTGTGTCCCTTCACTCTCTTCTCCTCCTACATGGTCTGCTCTTAGTGTCTGTGTGTATGCGTTTGTATTTGTGTGTGAGGGTGGACAACATGGACAAGCTGCTGACTGGCTACAGCTGCTAAAGGAGAACCCTACGCTGGACACTTATTTTAAACATCTGGTATTTTTACATAAATTGTTATTGCTGTATTGATTTAAAAAAACAATGCAGTAGGTCCACCAGACCACTGAGTAACAAACACATCACACAAGGGCTAAAGAGAACATTTTCCTCTAACCTCTGTGAATAACTTTGCTCACAGCTTTACCCTTCAATTATGCAGAAATTTTGAAAAATCGGTGGAATTCTCCTTTCATGCATAGTGAATAACTTAAGTGTTTAATTTGGGCTTTACTAAACTTAACTTTTGTTAAAGTCCCAATATGTGTTCCTTAAAATAAAGTGATACCCAATTTTTTTATGTAATGTAATATTCCTGTTTTCATCTCTGGCTTTCAGTTTTTCATTAAGAAAAGTCAATGGTAATGATTCTAAAGTGTTTTTTTTATTTTTAAATTTTTCATTAAAGCTGTCTGATTTGTTTCCTCACGTTGACCTCTACCATTTAGTCTTCCTCAATTTGGCACATTGCTCACAGAATAAAAATAGATAATGAAGCAGCATCAGACTGCTTCTCAAAAGTGGTGATGTACATCAGCATGGACCATTTGAGTTTCTTTTTTAGTAATTTGTTAGTCAGTAAGAATGGAATGCTGTAACTGTACTTAAGCTTGCAAAATTTCAAGAGAAAGGAAGACAACAGCCTCTGAAAGAAGTGTAAATATTTGCCCTGTGTAAAATCCACCATCAGTTACTGTCAGTATTAAATGTTTTGCTCAGTGCTTGGTCTGATTTAAGGAGCTCTGTTAAACCTCTCTTCAGGTCTGTCCCTGTGAAAAAGAGGAAACGGTATTCATCAATTTTTAGATGTTGTGGCTAATAGATGCTATATAGATGTGTTATAAAGATCTGTGTTTTCATTCTCACAGCATGTGTTTTATAGTAGAAGTCCATCATTGCAGGTTGTTCTCATGTGAAAATAGAAAATATAGAAAATCCCTTTTAGTTTTTTAAACTACATGTAATGAAAATACATGTAACATCTTAGAATATTATAACTAGGGTTGTTTACAGTGTTTAAAATGATTTCACGGCTATGAAAAATATGCACATTTGCACCTGGTTCACTTGATTCCAGAAACGTTTCTGTTTTCAATTCCAAGGGATGTGAATCAGATAATCAATTTCATACAGTAATTTTCTCAATTTTTTTATTTTAAAAAACAAAACACAGAGAAGATCTGGCAAAATAAAGGATACAGTATGAAATAAGTACCTTTATGATTTAAATATATGAATGACCAGGGGTCTTGAAATAAGGACTTCATGTTACCTCTGTTGTGTCTCCTCATCAGTTTCATTATATGACTTATTTTACTTTAGCAAGGCAATTTTGAGAGCTAATGCATGTTGACTGATGGGGGGCTAGCTAAACTGTACCTGATTCTCCTCTGTTAACCCCTTAAATGGCTCAACAGTGGGGCCAAAGTTGTATTATATGCTTCTATAACCTAAGAATAGTTCAGCCAGTTTGCCTTGAAGTACCTGTAGTTACTGAATAATAAGACTTGGTATGTAATAAGTGTGAGATTTTAAGGGTTAACTCATTGGGTGGGTAGATTCATCATTGGCGATGTTGTTTGATTTGGAAACCTATTTATTGTTTTAAAATTTGACACATTACTTTACTTTTCTGTTTTGACTAAAGTAAAATACATCTAGACTGCTGATGTGTATGTTGTGGAATGATGTATTTTCCAGACAGGCTTTCACAATTGTAATACCAGCTTGTGGAATTGAGTCAGAAATTGACTCTCATTTCTCAAATGCCTGGAATCGAAGAGCCAACTGTTTTTGTTTGACACCCAACCGTACCTCATAGTTACACCCTCTGATATTCAGTATAAGTATGTTGAGTGTTCTTTACCATTTAGCGTTGTGTTTGAGAGCCTTGATGCTGTGTGTGTGTGTGTGTGTGTGAGTGAGTGAGTGAGTGAGTGAGTGAGTGAGTGAGTGAGTGAGTGAGTGAGTGAGTGAGTGAGTGAGTGAGTGAGTTAGTTAGTTAGTTAATGCTCCTGTTGACTCAGTGTCCTGTGTTTTGTTGTAACAGAGATCAGGAGATGAGTCTGCAGTGCTGTGGCTGGACCAGATCCAGGAGGCAGTCCATACTGCCAACCAAGACCAGGAGGACGCTCTCAAACGTAGGACTGATTTATTGTTTGAACGTCTGACCAAACTATATTGTTGGTTGTTGACACCACCATTCTAGAATATATTGGCAAATGCAAAACAAAGCAACAGTTTCTGACAATGATGGTAATTTCAAAACGATGTAACTTCTGTTTTTGATTGATTTTGCTCACAGGCATATGCAAAAGTTTAAACATCCCTGGTCAAATTACATGTTTTTTTGATTTTCCAAGTGAAAATAAGTGAACACATCCTCTGTAGGGAACAAACTTAAATATGACATTTTCCTGCAAATTTTTGTGCACAATTTCTATGTATTTTGAATTTAACATGTTGAGGGGGAAAAAATTCACATCTATCTATCTATCTATCTATCTATCTATCTATCTATCTATTTACAGTATGTTAAAATGTGAAGAAGTGTGTTGTCTGTAGAGGATCTGTACTTCACTTATTTTCAAGAAAACATGTAATTTTACCAAGGGCTGTATGGTCTGATATGTAGATACTAAGTTGACAGATCCCTAGTTTGTCTCTGGATTGTTTTTTTTTAGATATTTGTAATGATGTTTGATGGCCTGGCTGATGTTTTGGTAGAATATCAATTTTAAGGGACTAAAATTTCACATGACTGATCATATCAGCTGATGTATTTTTTTTTTTTAATTATTTTATTTATTATATAGGCTCTGCTGTGTCATTGTGAGATTGTGAATTTGAATCACAGTGATGCCATGACCTACACAAGTTGTTAGTTAGTGAGCCATGAGTAATCGTTACTGGCTGATGTTATCACCCAACTAACATATCAATCAGACTGTTTCCACAAAACA